TAGGGTTGATGGTAGTTTTACAGAGAGTTTATATTATGGATTGTATAGGTCCTGATGTGGATTCTCTGGTAACTGAACACATCCAAGTCAATAAGGCTTCTAAAATGTGCACACGCACCTTGTGAACTCCTCCATCGCACAAAAGAGGATCTTTGTGGAGTAAGGACAGATTGTTCCTAAACCAGAAGTAGTTGTGCAAAAGAAAAAGATACCCCAAAAGAAGCTGAAGAAGAAGAAATTTACGGTTTGAGAGTAAATCTGACATAACACATGCGCATAAATAAAAAGAAAAGTTGGGGAAAAAAACAGCTTTTGCAACAGCAGGATGTTAGCTGGCATGGTCCCCTTGTGTTACCTGGGCAGGTTAAGGTGTTATGTCTTGTGTTGTGTTGTCAGGGTGGACTATGTAGGTATACTAATAAATTAGGCAGTAGAGTGCACACGCTACCACGATCCCTTCTCAGGCAGCAGGCTAGACTAGATGACCTCAGAAGGTCCCTTCAAGCCCTACTTCTCTATGATTCTGCGTAATCAGGCCTGTGGGTACTCAACGCCACTTCTGTTGGCTGGCTACAGCTCCATCCAGAGCCTAATCCGTGGACTGAGGGAACGAGCACATCATGAGCATGTGTGAATCCCACCACAGTTTACCAAACATCTTTTATTTCCTGTCCTTCTAATCTGATGTGCTGCAAATCCTGCAAACCTCATGTGGAAGGTGCTTATTTAGGGAGATCTTCAGAGAAAGCTTTGCTTGGCATCTGAATGACACGGTGCCCAAAAGAGAGAGAAGCGTGTGTTCTGAAATGCAGAAAAGTAGAAAATAAAAGCCCACTAGAAGTGCCACCCTACAGGAGACCTGGCCCAAAATGTTTCTCTTTTTGTCAAACAAGAGAAACAAAAAGTGAAAGCAAGGTGAAAAATGCCCTAATCTCCTCATTGGATTGGACTGGATAGACAAGCCCAGATGATTCTCTACCAAATTTCAGTGACTCTCTGTGGAGGGCTTAAGTGTCTTCCTAAACCAACTGCAACCTGCAAACCAACTGCAAAACCAGGACTTTTGACTATTCAGAGAAAACCATGTCTGACCATATCTGTACAAAGGCAACAGTTGAAAAAAACGACAATTTCTCTCTGTTGACTAAGTCAATTTAAGTGATATCTTTTCATGAATGACACTGTAACGGGTGACATATGGTGGGGTGTGGCAGGGAAAGGTGGTGCTGATGTTGGTTTTATACCTTGTGTTATCTCCAAAATGGCCAGAATGATGGAGGGAGCAAAATGATTAAAATGGGTGGTTCTTGGAAGCCGTTTTAGGGTTTCAGTACATGTGAACTCAGGTTGTTTATATCCTTTGCTGAACTTGTGATTCTTTTTCTTTGAAGTTCTCTCTAAGGGAGAGGGAGGTTCCCAGAAAGAGAGGATGGGGGAGAGCTCCCCTTCCCTGGCTCACTTTCATTGCTGGGCTTGAGATACCAGAATTCAAAACTGACATTCCATTTTTTTCCCCCCTTTTAAGCTCCCTGTACAAAGAGAAACCTGGCGTTGTAAATAGAGGGGTTTAGAAAGTTGTTGAGTTTACAACAAAACATAGAGACATGGAAGCAGGTTCCAGAAGCTGAAAAGAATAGATGTTTCAGCTTTTCTGAAAGCTGTCAGTATCTCTGTCTGTGGCACCTGTTTACAATATCCTCCAGTCAGATTAATCTGGGATTTTAAAAGCCAGAAGTACAAAAACATAGCCTTTCTTGCACAAGAAATCCTCTAGTCTGTTGTTATAGGAAATATTTTAAGTGGGCTTCTGTATTTGTATAGTGTTTGGCAAACTGGGATTCTGATTCATAACTCGGGTTTCTAGGAGCCTACTGCATTATAAGTAAATACAAAAGCTTATAAATATATTATTGTTTAAGCTTTAATGCTACTTCCAGGTTATATCCTACTTGCTTATTTGAAAGTGTTTCCTAAAAAACAGTTCTTTGCAGGAAAAACTTCTGGAAAGTTAGTTGATCCTGTGTTTTTCATCTTCAAAGCAAATGCAATCCCTCCTTATATTTGTATCCTGTTGACAATAGTGCAGTAGAAATGTGCAATTTACTTTATTCCTTTTCCCCCCCTCAAAATCTCATTAAGGTAACTATGAATCAGAAAATCTTATTCTAGAAGTTCAAAAATTGCTCTGTTCCTTTCTAAGAAGATCACTAAATTAATTTTTCAAAGCATGTTGCAGCATGACGTGATAATCTGAACGATTGTTTTTCCTCTTTTAAAGGAAGAGCCAAGACTGGATGTTCTGATCAATAACGCAGGAATATTCCAATGTCCGTACATGAAGACAGAAGATGGTTTTGAGATGCAATTTGGTGTTAATCACCTGGGTCATTTCTTGCTCACCAACCTCCTCCTTGGCCTTCTCAAAAGTTCTGCCCCAAGCAGGGTTGTGGTTGTTTCTTCCAAGCTTTACAAATACGGAGAGATAAACTTTGACGATTTGAACAGCGAAATGAATTACAATAGAAGTTTTTGCTACTCTCGGAGTAAACTGGCTAATATACTGTTCACCAACGAGCTAGCCCGCCGATTGGAAGGCACAGGGGTCACAGTAAATGCACTTCACCCTGGTATTTGCAGAACCAATCTGGGTAGACACGTGAATGTTCCTTTGTTGGCCAAGCCCCTGCTCAGTTTTGTGTCATGGGCTTTCTTCAAAACCCCATTGGAAGGAGCCCAGACTTCCATTTATTTAGCTTCCTCTCCTGATGTAGAAAGTGTATCAGGGAAATATTTTGGTAACTGCAAAGAGGAGGAGTTGCTGCCTAAAGCCATGGATGACTTGGTTGCAAGGAAACTGTGGGATATCAGTGAAGTGATGGTTGGACTATTAAAATAAGTAATTAGGAGGCAGGTAGTTACAGAATGGAATGCATATCACTGAAATCTTACAACCTTGATGCTTCCTGCAGCAATATATTCCCCCTTTCAGTGGTGTGCAATAAAAATTACTTTCAAATCTGTAAGTATAGTTAATATGAGTAATGTATACAGGAGCTCAATTTTAAGATAGAGAATATTATTTTGAAGCTAGCTATTCAAAAGAAATACAGAGCTAGAGTCTGAGATTTTGAATATATTTCTTCATTAAATCTCTTCTGTATTTAACTTATACTATACATAACAATAATAAAAAAATCTCTCCTTTGTGATGTATACATTGTATATGCTTACTGTGATAGACTACTTGAAGTCAAAATTGACAATGCAGGATGTGGCTTTTGCTATTTTTTGTGTTACAAAATGATAAAAACCCTCTTCTCATATGGAAAGCAATGCTATCTTTTAGCCATTCTGGCTGAAAGATTTCACTGATGAGTTGCTGGCACTCTGCTCTGATACTCTAGGCCGCCAAATACTGCTTTATATCACAAAGATTCCTTTCCACAACTAACTGCTTCATCGGTTGCCTGAACAAGAATCGTGTTGAGTTCAACTTCAGCTGTGGGGCAAAAGTCACAGGTCTCGAAAATACCCTGGTTGGAGTAGTTTTGCAACTGGCATTCGCTTAATATTATATTTTTATTATATAGTAGGGACAATCTTATTTGGGTTAATTCTGCCTTGTGTTGTTGTGTACAAAAGTCCCAATTCTGCAAAAAAACATGTGCTGGTAGACGATGCAGCATTGATTTCAGCAGGGCTTTCCACGAGTGAAGTGTGCAGTACCTATGTGAGGTTAATTGTAGGTTTAAGGTCTAAGGTTAGCCTCAGAGGTCTCTGCTTCTAAATATTCTGTGCATAGACTAGTGTTATTTCATACTCTAAAGAAATGTGGATAAGGCTCAGTTGAATATGGACAATGAATCTTTCAGAGAAATGCACACTGACTGATGAAGCGATTCAACAGCACTGATGCGTACACTTAAAATACCATCCAGAAACCTGTGCACACTGGAAACTCCATAACTAACAACTGCTCCTTTGTAGGCCTCTAGAGCCTCTACTATGCAGATATAAAAGAGTAAACGTAGGCCAAAATAAGTAAATGGATATTACATGAAAATGTCTCATTTTTAAAATGAAAAAAGCTTCCTGTTGTTTATGGTGTATTCTTTATAAATTCTAATTTACTGCTATTTGATGGTATCATTTAATGAGTATAAATAAAATGCTGCTACAAGTTTTATTTTCTCAAAGAGAAATCTTTTAAAAATCTTGATTCAGACCTACATCTATACATCCATAAATGGATTTGGTTCTGTGCTTGGGCTAACAGCAAGGTGCTTTATATTCCTTCCCCAGGTCACTTAGAGTGTAGATGTTCTAGTCTAGGGGTGGCCAGCCTGTGGCATGGGTGCCACAAAAGGCTTGGGCAGCCTCTGTGCATGGCATCCAGCAGGTTGGGGAAGAGACAGGCAGCACAGGAGCCAATATAGGAGAGAGCAGAAAGTGGAGCATCAGATCAGGCAGGGAGCACAGGGCAGGGAACAGAAAGCTGAGCAGTTGCTTAGGGGAGGGATTGGAGTGGCATTTGGAAAAGGTCAGGGCTAATTTGATATATGCCTGCCAGAAAGGTTGGCCCCCACTGTTCTAGCTCATGTTCACTGTCTGTCCAAACTTGCATCCCTTCCCATTGTGTTCACTTGGTACCACGCTCCTTTTTAGAAAAAAAGTGCACTTCCTGTACACATCAGACACAGTAGAGTAGCCGTGTGTCTGTGAGGCAGTCAGCTTTCCAGGTCATAAATGAATGGAGGGGAGAACCGATTGTTAAGCTCCTGTCACAATAATGGTTGTTTTGTATGGCTCACTCCCAGTCCACTGGAGTAGAGGTGATGTGGGATTAAACTGTAATCTGAACATTCAACTCATTTGCCTTGAGCTAATGCAAAGGTGCATCCTGTTCACAGGATATATAGAAGTAGGGAATAAACTGGTGTTTCGCCTATAAAGTAATATTTTTGCGCTCGTTGGAAACAATGTCTACCTGAGTATATACATAGCACCCTTGAAGTGCCACCTCCTCTGGAATGCAAGGCATTGACATACTACTATATACATGTTTTAAAAAAATGGAATATATAGAGTTCTCCAAAGAGCAAAACCTTTGTTCTTTAAGGTCTTGCCTAAAGGAGCTGACAGTGCAGTAAACAGAATTTACCTTTTATATTTTATTGCTTTACTGCTAACATCTTGAAACCGGTGTGCGCATATTGTAGGAGAGTCCTAGACCCCTGTCAGATCGTAGTGTTTCAAGGACCATGCCACACTAGTCTTGCCCATCTTGTTATGCAAGTACCTGCAGTTCTTTCAGGGACTGAATTACTGGCACATGACACAGGGACATTTAGAACAGGAAAGATGTGGAGGTAAGAAGCTATAAGTATCAGATACATCCGGTAGGGTGCAACTTCTTGAAGAGTTATGCTTTGTAATCTTACAGATTGCTTTATCTTTCAGAAGTTAGGAAACCCCCTGTCTATGTTGCATTGCCCAGAGAAAAAAGGGCCAGAGTTCAACCCAGGCACCATGTTGGCCACCTGAATTGGAGGGAGATAGACCCAGTTGGCCTGCAACCCCTACAAAGCCAGCAGGCTGTGCTAGGGTGGGTGTCCAGGGCAAGCACCTGTGGACCAGCATTGCCCTTCAATTTTGACCAAGTGAGGACAGGGGTTTTTGTTATGTTTTTTTATTCAATTTGAGTTGCATGGAGAGTTTGTTGGGATGAGGAAGAGGACTTGTGGGTTTGATGAGACAGCCACTGCCCCATGGACGAGAGAGAGAGAGAGTAATGGGAGTGAGTCTGCAGGGGGAAGAGGGCAATGTGGGAAAATATTTTTTTGCCAGCACATGCCCCAAATGTTTGCGAAGTTTGCAAAGAACAGCTAGCTGCAATGGGTGAGGAAGAGATGCTGTCCTTAGTGAGTGCTGGGGAACTGGAGTTGAGAGGTAGGGTGGAGGTTTTGGAGTGTCCTTTAGGGAGCGCTATGGATTTTATTATAAGTCATCCTCAGCCTTCTTTGTATAGGGTGGCATATACATAAATAAACATTTGAGGAGGCACAAGATCACATGAATCCTGGTAGTTCAGTCTAGTTATTCTAAACCCTAATGTAGTTCCTCATCCGCAGGGCCATCTTTCCTGCACAGAGCAGTTGCTTAGCTGTAGTTTCTGCCAATGAAATGGCCATTTGTTTGCCTTTTTATTTGTGTCCTATCTCTTCTAGGGGAACATGGATTATGTATATACTCAAAAAGGGGTGGGGGAGGGTGTTTTCTAATAAACTATGTCACCAGCTTACCTTGACTAAGATGTCCAAACTGTATCATCTGAAAACTTACAGATTCATAGATGCTACGGTCCGAAGGGGCCTCAACATATCATTGAGTCTGACCCCCTGCCTAGGCAGGAAAGAGCGCTGGGGTCAGATGACCCCAGCCAGATGCCTATCCAGCCTTCTCTTAAAGACCCCCAAGGTAGGGGAGAGCACCACCTCCCTTGGAAGCCCATTCCAAATTTTGGTCACCCTTACCGTGAAGAAGTTTTTCCTGATAGCTAGCCTAAATCTGTCTGTCAACATCTTGCAAAAGTGTGCTGATGTCCCTTTTGTACCAAGTAGGACAGGTACAGTGGCATCTGCAGCACAAGCCCCCTCCAACTGCATCCATATAAACTGTTCAGAGCAGTTCAGACCCCATGGCCATTCAGGCCTCACTGTCTGGTCAGACTGCCAATACTTACTGTTGTTTCTGTGATGTGATAATAACTTCAGTTGTTAGCATAATGAAGAAGAGGCCAGGACCCTGGAGTGAAGAGTTATACAAATACAAAACAAAAAGAGGTTTTATTGTAACTGAACTAAGCTGGATTTGAATCAAAAGCGGTGTTGGGTTCCACAGCTCATAATTGATTCCTAGAACCATTCAACTGCATACAACTGAAAAGCAGGTAAAGTTCCTCCCCTGACTAATCCCTGCTCATTATTAAAACTAATGAGGGCACTAAATGCAGGCTGAGGGGTAAAAGGAATATAGCGCATAGACAGGAACCAGGGATTCTGGGCTGGGTCCAGCGCAACTACGAAGCCTAGATGCATTAGGTTCTAGTACAGTACAAATAATAATAGAGGCCTCAGCAGAGATTGACGCCCTGTGGTGACGTGTTAAAATAACATGATAAGCAGTGATCCGAAGTTTCTGTTTTCCATGAGAAAACGGAAAAAATACAGATTTCCCACTTCTGAGAAAAGCATGGATTTCCCGTTTTAGTGGAGAAACATGCAGCTTTTGCATTTTTGCAAAGAGCTCTCTGCAGGCTGGTAGAGTTCAAGCCTGCAGAGAGCTGGGGGGAGCGGGAGGAAGGTGGTCAGGTGGGGAGCACCATATGTGCGTACATGCACATGGCCGCCAGGCAGCCTGGAGAGCAGCTCCCACAGGTAAGTCTGGCAGAGATGGGGGGTAGAGTTGAGGGCCCCCATAGGGAGGGAGGGAGTTGGGCACGGGCTGGCGCCTGGGGCTGGAATGCACGGCCACAGGGCCCAGCAGGGAGCAGGACGCAGCCGTGGGTGGCTCATCTGATTCATAGATTCACAGATGTAGGGTCACAAGGGACCTTGTAGATCTTCTAGTCTGACCCCCCTGCCCTGGTCAGGAGAGAAAAGTGGGCTCAAATGACCCCAGCCAGGTAAGCGCTGAGCTTCCTCTTAAAGACCCCCAGGGTAGGAGCCATCACCACTTCCCTTGGAAGTTGGTTCCAGATCCTAGCCGCCCTGACTATGAAGTAGTGCCTTTTAATGTTTAGTCTAAACCTACTCTACTCTAGCAACTTACGGCTGTTATTCCTTGTTACTCCAGGAGGCGCTTGGGGGAACAAGGTCTCTCCCAAACCCTGCTGATCCCCCCTAGTAAGTTTATAGATGGCCCCCTGGTGCCCCCTCAACCTTGTCCTGCGAAGGCTGAACAGGTTAAGGTCCCGTAGCCTCTCTTCATAGGGTCTGCCCTGCTGTCCCTGGATCATGCGAGTGGCCCTCCTTTGGACCCTCTCAATGCTGTCCACATCTCTCCTGAAGTGCGGCGCCCAGAACTGAACACAGTACTCCAGCTGCAGCCTGACCAATGTCGCATAGAGGGGGAGGATCACCTCCTTGGCCCTGCTCGTGATACATCTGTGGATGCACGACAAGGTACAGTTAGCCCTACTGACCGTGTTCTCGCATTGTCGGCCCATGTTCATCTTGGAGTCAATAATGACTCCAAGATCTTTCTGCCACCGTGCTTTTGAGAGGAAAGTTCCCCAGCCTATAAGTATGCTGCTGGTTCTTACTGCCCAAGTGCAGCACCCTGCATTTGTCCGTACTGAATCCCATCCTATTTTCATTTGCCCACCCTTGTAACCTGTCCAGGTCCTGCTGTAATCTGTCCTACCCTTCTAGCATGCCCACCTCACCCCAAATCTTGGTGTCATCTGCGAATTTAAACAGGCTGCTCTTCACCCCGTCGTCCAAGTCGCTAATAAAGAAATTGAACAGTGTGGGCCCAAGGACCGAGCCCTGGGGGACTCCGCTGCCCACTTCCCTCCAGGTCGAATATGACCTGTCCACCACCACTCTCTGAGTATGACCCCTCAGCCAATTTGCAATCCATCTGACTGTGTAGGCATCCATGCCACAGTCACCTAGCTTTTTAATCAGAATGGGTTGGGAGACAGTGTCAAAGGCCTTGCTGAAGTTTAGAAAGACTACATCCACCATGACACCTGCATCCAATGCTTTTGTGACCTGATCGTAGAAGGCAGTCAGGTTGGTCTGACAGGACCTGCCCCTAATGAAACCATGCTGGTTGTCCCTGAGCATCATCCCCGCTGCTGGCCCATCACAGATGTGCTCCTTGATAATCTTCTCAAAGAGTTTCCCCAAGATTGAAGTAAGACTAATGGGCCTATAGTTGCCCGGGTCCTCCCTCTTCCCTTTTTTAAAGATGAGGACCACATTGGCCCTCTTCCAGTTATCCGGCACCTGACCAGAGCACCACAAGTGCTCGTAAAGCTGTGCCAGGGGCCCCGTGATAACCCCTGCCAATTCCCTGGCTGGCGGGGGGAGGTGAGGTTGGCTCCCTGCTGCTGCACATGCTCCAAGGGGGGGAGGGAGGACACATGCCCCCCAGATCTGCGGGGGGTT